CAGTGGGGAAGCGAGCCTTCCGGAGATCCGGGCAAGCTAACACCAATACTGGGCCTGGCATCAGACTGCTCCGCCCAGTCTGACTGCCGGGGGTGCTGGAGGATACTCGACCAGGGTTCGCTGTCCAGGGAACTTACTGGAGGAGGAAAAAGGTGCTCGCAGGAGGGCACCAGGGGTGCATATACATATACATATAAAGAGTTCATTTGAAAAAAAAAAACGATAAACGTCACCTTTAAAAAAAAATGAACTGACTACAGTGCATTATTCTCCACATATAGCGCGATCTGGACCCTAAACACATTTTGTCAAAAAAGCCAGTATTTTCCACTTTGAAGGCATCACGAGTTCACGTTTTACAGCAGAAGCCAACAAGTGCCCTTGTTGTTTATGAACAGAAGCCGATAAGTCAATTTTAATGAATCAGTGCGCTATATTCAGGTCACTTCGAAAAGACAAGCTAGCTGAGAGGAGTTTCGTCAAAGCTGTCAAAAGGTGATCGAGGATGGATAATTTTGATGAACTTGATGAACCTGTGATATCTTCTTTGGGGCATAAAAGGAAAATAAAAGCTAAAACTTTTTCAGGGAACCTTGCTAAAGCAGCACGCTACAGTGGTGAGGGAAAAGCTCCCTGTTTTGCGTGTAATCACAACCATACAGTCTATGATCACAACAAGAAAGCTTTACATTGTCAGCTGAGGAGATTACAAAGATTAAACAAGTGTGTTTGTTTAACTCTGAAACGACCTGAAACCAAAAAACGACTTGGAGTTATTTGCTTTTGCTAAAAAACAAACTTTTAATACAATAAAAAAAAACATGATTTAGGAAAATAAATACAAATTTTATCTGTTTTAGCAAATCTGAACTTTCTATCTGAATCTCTCTCTCTCTCTCTCTCTCTCTATATATATATATCACAATCAGGCCCTTATGTAATAACTGCAACAGGCCTACTGCCTACTGCTTTGCTTAAATTCAATTGCAGATTTGCTTGTGTGATTAGTCACCTAATATGTCTGTCATATTAGTGTCTTATTGAATAATCAGCTAGTTTCAGGCTGAATTCACAATATAAAATACTATTTCTGCCATTTAAAGATGTGGCAAAAGGGTCATTCCACAAAATTGGTGCCTTTTGCATCCCTAAGAAATAATCGAACATAGATTTAATATAACAATGGATAAATTTGCAATTTAAAAACATAACGATACTATGTATTCTTTCATCAATGTTAAATGGAAAAAAAGCCAATTAAATATTATTTTAAATAATTTAAATAGCATTTATGCTGATAAGGGTAAGGTTTTTGGCCTGTCCCTCACTATGATTTTTCTTTTTCAGCAGGACTTTTAATTTGCAAAATGAAGGCAAAATTATATAAAAATCGCATTTGCATATTGTTTTAAATATAGTCTCATTGTTAAGCAATGTTTTTAGCACAAGTATGCATTGTTTTCTATAAAATTTTAACCTTTTTATTGGTGTCCCCTGATTTCATGCAAGCCCTGTTACCCTCATCAAAAAACCCTTGTAAAATAATGTACATTCAAGTGACATCACTTCTATGAGGTTACATGATCTCTCAACCAGGACCATTCAGTGGCATATGAGCATGAGTTACATTTTAGTTAGTTTTATTAGTATTGTTACTATTACTGTTGTTGTTAATGACCAGGATAGGACGATCAGTCTCAATAAAAATCTTTTTTTTTTCCCATAACTCATTGTCAATAATGCATCTATGTAAATTCAATTACAAACAAGAGCAGCAAGGTGACTGCAGACCTTCACTCCAGTCTTGCAATGTTCAAGAAATTCAGTTATCAGGTTTCAGATGATCACAGAAAGATCAAGATCTGATCATCTTCCCCGCCTATAATAATTGAACCAGATCAGTATATTTGAAGTTCTGTGAGGGGACACAGACAAACAGATGGGAGCATTATCTCATTACAATACTCTTAAAACATTATGTAATGTGCTAATTCAACAATGAACTGACTTAAACTGAAAAATTTACTGTTTACTATTGTCATACAACTATGCTAAGTAAGTGCAAAACAATATAATGCAATTTAAAATTGTAAACCGGTACAGTATTATGTAAACAAATATGTGCAGTGTGCTGAACAATGTGTGTCCTGTCATCCCTGTTACTCTGGTCAGTCCTGTGACTATGACGTCAATACTGTTACTGTCATTAATTTAATAAAAATTGTAAAAAAAAAAAATTATATTTGATACAGCCTTCCAGGTTTTTCCATTGTAACTTTAACTATATTTTATTTTGGACAAAGCCCTTTTTTTGTCTCTCGTAAAAAAAATACATGTTTTTCTTAATTGGCATGTGGTCACCCTCCAAAATTAGGATGTTCTTGGTCATCTGAATGGCAAATATAAAAATATTTGTAAAAAATAAAAAATAAAAAATTTGAAACAATCCCAGTGAAAAGAGGGACTAAAATGCTGCTCATATATGTGAAAACTGTCACATACTTCTAATTAAACTATAGTAACGCTAGTGTTGGTAATAGGGTTGACAAAAATACCAAAACATGAGGTAGAAAAATAGTCATAAAATAATAAATTACATAGCCTGAGATGGCACAATACACCTTCTTGTCATTTTAAGGTGTCTTCATTTCATGGATATTTAAAAAATGTTGATTAAACTTATTTATTTATTTATTTTTTTCCAAGTGGAAAAGGCACCGATTTCGTGGAATGACCCATAAACATTAAGAGTAATGTAGCAGTATATTTGTTTGAATTCAGCATCATTCTTGCGAGTCAATACTGATTATGGTCAACATGCAGTCCACTTGAATAGTTAACCACTTGTTTTCTATTCTTCAAAACCTTTGAAGAATGTAATGATTGCAATACACTTGAACCAAACAAATATTTCTTGTTTGAAGTGACAATACAACCAGCCATCGTCGAAAAGTAAACAATCGCCCACTGCATGACTTTTAATCTAACAGGCTGCACTTCTCAGGCATGAAAAAACACACAGCAATTTTCAAATTAATCATCGTAATGTGGACGGTTGACTCTAAACTCATTTCCTAAGGCAACCCAGAGCCTCACACTCCACATCCTCCTGGGAGCATTTAGGGCTCTTGAAATCTCATCTTTAAATTACACTTTATGCCAGGACCAGGGTGGCTGCGTTAAGGCTGCGCAACGCTGGAGCTGTTAGCCTGATTAACGCTTCATCGGATTGCGTTCCTGACAGTGTGTTTGTGGGTTTGAGAGAAGCAGACGACGTGTGTGTCCGGTGATTAAACAAAACTAAGTCAGCATAGAGGATTATTCACACTTTCACAATAAAATACACGTGATTAATTGCAGCCCTCTTTATCTACTTCTCTCTGCTTTTTGTCATTTTCTCAGTTAAAATCCAAGACATCCTTCACCCAAATATCTGTATGTAAATCAAAGCAGTTTTAACAAATGCCAATCCTCGTCAATCCTAAATAATGTTTTAGCAGATAGGTTGATTACAATGTCATTTTATAACTACATATTGAGGTCAACAATCTCCAGCGATGCACACTGTTGTCAGTATGAGAAGTAAGCTGTGTTGTTGAAAGCATGAGATTCTTCGATTTATGCATCATTATATTTGCTTTGAGCATTTTTCTATGCACCAGTTAACTCTGAACGCACATCCTGCAGCAAAATAAATACACCATTAATTATTCACGCCCATTTCTGTCAGAAATTATATTGATAATCAGAATTGTTTTCTTGTTTTCCTGTAAAATAAATAATCTAAAACATACTTTTTTTATGCACTGATGAACTTACTGCAGCAGAATAAATACAAAAATAACTAAAAATACACTACTGGTCAAAAGTTTGGAATTTTGAACTTAAATAATGTGAAATTTCATTACAATTTTAAATAATATATATAATTTCCATTAGAATAATTTTCTATTTTAATATATTTTTAATTTATTCCTGTGATGCTAATGCTGAATTGTCAGCATTATTTCTCCAGTCTTCAGAGTCACATGATCCTTCAGAAATCATTCTAATATGCTGATTTGCCGCTCATTAATTATTCATTATTATTAGTATTTAATTATTAGTAATAGTTCTTATAGTTATGTCAAACAGTTTTTGCTGCTTCATATTTTTGAGTAAATCATGATACATTTTTCAAGATTGCTTGATGAATAGAAAGTTAAAAAGAATAGCATTTATTTGAAATAATATATATTTACCATTTATTTGAAATTGTTTTGTAACATTATGGATGGCTTTACTATCACGTTTGATCAATTTACTGGCTGAATAAAGTATTAATTTATTTTTTCCAATTAAAAATTATAATAATATTTACTGTAGTTACTGTATTTTTGATTAAATAAATGCCTTGGTGAGTACTTTTTTCAAAAACAAAAAAATATCTTAAAGGTGCTGTATGTAAGTTTTTGACTCTACTAAAGCGCAAAAATACCATAATGTGTTTGCAGATATGTAAGAAACATGCTAAGTTAACATATTTGTTTATCTGAAAAACAATGCTACAGTCAGTCAGTCTCCTTTGAAAATGTGCGTTCCGTGTCGGAATGTCTGTCTGTCTCTGTTTTGGTCTGTGTAACCCGCCCACTGCCAGTTTACCCAATTGTATTTCGGCACCCCAGGTTGCCAGTTCGTGGAAAACACAGCGTATTTCATTTCAGTCATGGAAGCTGTCAAGGAAGGTGCGCTAGTTCCTGTTGGTGTCATCGATCTGGCAACCTGTGTGTGCGTCAAGTCTGAGGAGGAGGGGCCGGGTGAAAAAAACCCTCTCCAATATTTGGAATTTGGATTGCAATCCTACATACAGCACCTTTATTTCTTCCAAACTTTTGACTTGTAGTGTAAATACAATATAAATTATTAATCATAATTTTTTTGTTTTCCTGTAAAAAAAACATCTAAACATCCTTGAAAGTGCAATGTAATCTCTGCATTGGCATCATTAGATGGACACTTGCCTTCTTAACCTCGTATTTAATGGCCAGTTTGACTCGACTGAGCAGGCAGCGATGATGCTGGCCTTCCTCGAGTTCAGCAGATATATCTCCATTCAAGATGGCCACCACCTCCTCCGTGTCCCTGCACAGATCCAAAACGCCAACCACAAAGTCTTTACACTGCATAGACAGCTTCCTGTAGTCATTCTGTAGAGAAGGAGAGAAAGAGCAGAGGTTGGTTTAAACACTGTAAAACAAGAGCTCACAGTTCAAAGGGGTCTTTCAGGTGAAAAGGTTGTCAGGCTTGAACAACCACTGCAACATCTGACTCAAGGGCATCAGACGGAGATGGAGTATTTGTCAGAATCTATCAGACTCCAAACACAACACCAATCAGACCTAATAGTTCTCATGGAAGAAGAATGAATGAAATTTTCTGATGTAGTTTGTCTAGGAGATTCTGCCAAGATTTGCCAATTTTTCAAAGGGAGTTTGTGATTGTATTGACTGTGATATTTATGGAAGCATGCACTACAATTATTTTTGGTTTTGGCTAAAGCAATGTTCTGTTCTGTTCCTAAAAATGTATTTGTCCTTGAACAGTAACTTAGTCTTTCAGGTCACTGACTGCTCTCCTGTTTGATATCAAAGCATTATTGTCATTACAGAACAAACACTTTCAGCTGGTGAGCAGTAAAACGTTGTGCCCCCCCAAATATTTGGACATTTAAAAATGTATTAAAGTCATATCAAATCAAGTATCTGGATCTACATGTGTTAAATGCAGTAGGATCTTTTCTCTTCAGTAATGTCAATATTTTCTTCTTCATGTCTGAAGTGTCAGTGTGTTCAGCTCGTGTTTTGGTGATTTAAAAAATAATAATTTTGGATATACTTTCATGCAGATCGCACAGATGTCCAATCTAAGGAATCACTGGTAGAGAATGACATTAACCATCAAAATGATCCACTAACCAAAAGCAAACACTTGATTTTAACACTTAAAGCTGCAGTCCGTATGTTTTGCCTCTTTGTCGCCATCTCTGTTTGAAAACCTGGAATTGCAGCTGTGTGCGGAATTATCTAGCTTGCGTGGGTTGTGAGTCGGCGCGGATGAATCTAATGTTCTGAAGAGTATGTGTGGCTGTCAGTCACCGCACCGGTGTGGATATTTACTGTACTTCGCAATCACAGATTCTAGTCTACGTCTTGGAATATGACCCAAATAAGAATTTTCACCGTATATTGTCATCTGAACAAGTAAGTAACAAGTCTGCCACGTTTGTTCTGACCAACTGAGGAAAAAAGCATTACCATAAATCTCGCTACCAATGGTGATTAAACCTAAAGATCAGTTAGCTCATGTCACATCAAACTGTTCAAATTATTATTATTGTTATACTTTATTTTCAAATGATTAATGTTAACAACATCAGCATTGGTGACTATGAGTATAGTGTGTATTAGAGTGTAGATTTCAATTTCTGCACACTCTAATCTAATTGTCATACTCTTCGAATTTCATATTAAGAAATTATTTTAACCCAAAAAGCAATAGTTTACCCAAAAATGGAAATTTGCTGAATATTATTTACTCATCAGTTCATCCAAGGTGTAGATGAGTTTGTTTCTTCATGGGAACAGATTTGGAAAAATTTAGCGTTTCATCACTTGCTCATCAATGGATCCTTTGCAGTGAATGGGTGCCGTCAGAATGAGAGACCAAACAGCTGATTAAAACAATACAATAATCCACAAGTAATCCACACTCCACTCCATCAATTAACATCTTGTGAAGTGAAAGTCTGAGTGTTTGAAAGAAACAAATTCATCATTAAGGCGTTTTAACTTTAAACCTTCACTTCTTGCCAAAACACTAGTCCGTAATTCATAATAACACTACCGCCAGTGAGATGAGTTTGTTTCTTCATGGGAACAGATTTGGAAAAATTTAGCGTTTCATCACTTGCTCATCAATGGATCCTTTGCAGTGAATGGGTGCCGTCAGAATGAGAGACCAAACAGCTGATTAAAACATCACAATAATCCACAAGTAATCCACATGACTCCAATCAATCAATTAATGTCTTGTTAAGTGAAAAGTTATGTGTTCGTATGTAACAAATACATGGTCAAGATGTTTTTTAACTACAATTGAGTCCTCTATCCATAATATTACTTTCTCCAGTGGAAAAAGTCCTCTCGTCTGAATCAGGAGAGAAATATGCACAGATAAGGCACAGTATAAAAGCCAAAACCAAAAACATTTCTAAACAAATATTTTGGTGGATTTTGATATGAGAGGACAACATGAGATGGGCTTTTTCACTGGAGGAATCGTTACTATGGATTATGAACTCATATTTTGGCCAGAGGTAACAGTTAAAACACCTTAAAGGTGCAATAAGCGATTTTTCAAAAACGCTGTTTGGAAGTTACTTGGACTGACACAACAACAAACATCAATCAGCATTAGGGGGCATATGACGGTGGAGGAGAGAAAACAAGCAAGAGGAAGATTTGAAGAATATCACTGGAAATTCCGCTCCATACGTGAGTAACACTACTTTTAAGTGTCACTGATTGTCTGGAGCTGTGCTGTTGGCGACTAACAACGAACTCTTGTTTGTATTTACTAATGTGTACTGTATGTTCATTTTTTGTGCTTCCTTGTCATTTGTTCATCATATGCGCTTTAGTTTTTGTGAAGCATTATTTTGTTGAGCGTCTGCTATGATAAAGGTATCCACTTTTTAGACATCCACTCTTGCATTCCGTGTGTAATGGAGGCCAGCTAGTGAGATTTGTTCAGGTAAACCCCTGAACTCAAGAGGTGCGCTGACGACTGCTAGAGAATGTGGTGTTTAGTGTCATTGTTAGTACATTCATCTCGCATACCGGCGATCAGGGTTCAAAACTGACTCGGAGCAGGGCGGTTAGGATTGTAGGGTGTTTTGGAAGCGGAGCAATGAAGAGAGGGGTGTGTTTGTTTAGGTTGAATTCAAATAGCAACAATGTCCAGCAATGTTTTTGAAAAATGTTATGATAGATTTGTTTTTTACAAACACACAGCTTTTCACTTCACAAGATGTTAATTGATGGACTGGAGTCATGTGGATTACTTGTGATGTTTTTATCAGATGTTTGGACTCTCATTCTGATGGCACCCATTCAAGAAACCATTGGTGAGCAAGTGATGTAATGGCAAATCTCTTCGATGAAGAAACAAACTCCACATATTGGTTGACCTGAGGGTGAGTACATTTTTCTGCAAATTTTCATTTTTGGGTGAACTATTTCTTTAGAGCCTAAAAACGAAATTTTGTAAAATGTTTGCTTGTAACGTATATTTCTTTCCAAAAAATTACACTTGACATCATTAGAAAACTCTTTGGAACAGAAAAGAGTTTACATAATCATAAAATGCATCACAGCATAAAACAACAGAAAATGGTAAGCTAAAGTCAACATAACATCAAAACTCACCCTCTTACTTCCATAACACTGGGCTCGATGTAAAAGACATGGTGCATATTATTTCACACAAAAAAATGAACCTTTCATTAAAATTAATAAATTACATAATCTCAGAAATTAATTTCCTTTTTAGCTAAAATAATTAAAAATCATCAAGGCTGTTCAACCAATGGTCACAATTGGTGTTTCAAGAGGGAAGACTCTGACGTGCAACAACCAATTTTCAGTATATAAATCCATTTTTTAAGTCCCACCCTATATTTTTCTCTTTAAATAACCAGTGCTAGGTAAAATGGGTTGTGAATATAATTTCATGTTGACTTTAATGCAGCTTTGAAGAGAAATTAAAAGGTTATTACACACTCAAAGCTCATTTAGTAAAAAGTATTCAAGAACAGCATGTTTTACAAGTGTAAAATGTAAACAAAGAAGTGATGGAGTCTTGACTCTTAACTATTTCCAATAGCAATGAACTGTGTTTTCCAGAACTCTAGAAGATAATCCTGGTTATTGATTCACTTGACATAACTAGCTGTTTCATGAGAGTCAGGCTGTTTATGTGAAACATAAACTGGGTGATTCTTTGACTGACTTCTTCATGACTGAATTATTAAACCATAAATCTTTTACCATGAGGAAAAGTCAACTTCACTTCACTTCACTTGTTAACCTCAGATACATTCGACTCATGATGCCAAATGGTTCTTTTTTAAAAACATTATTGACAGTTCTGAATAAGCATAATCAAACAGTGTGCAGTCCTCCACAGGGTTCACTTGATAGACATAAGGTAGATGTCATATCAGTGTGATCTCCCAACGTGCACTGCTGCTGAGGTTCTGATTAAAACATTACATGCTGTGTGCTTTATTATTCTCTGTGGGAGAATATTATACCTTCTCACACCACCAGGATGACAGCAAACCTCTTATTAGCATGAGAAAAGCAATATTACAGACAATATGTTACATGATAATCAGACACCATGTCAGGACGGCTTTTATTACATGCATGATGGGTGTACAATAGTTGCGTGTGACAATGTGACATTCATTTGCTCAATAAGAGAGAATGCAAAAGTATAGGCTACACCAAGAACGAAACTAATATTAAGGTTAATCTCACAAAAACATTTCCAGGTCATATTTGACTCCAAAATAAAAAATATATGAAATATATAAAATCTTATATTTAAAATATTATAATTAAATATATAACTAGAAATATATAAAATATTTTTAGATAGAAAGTGGAGTCTGATTTTAGGACCATTAACATTTGTATATATTAAAATGCAAATGCAAAAACGTTATGGTTATACAAAATTTCTTAATTTTCTTTATGCAATTTATATTAATTTTCTTTTTGTTTGAAATATGACAGGTTTTGTGAGATTCACACATTTATGCATCATTATATATCTTATCAGTGGTTATTTGTGCACCAGTGAACTTTGAATACATGAGTTCTGCAGCTTAATAAAATACAACAAATGATTAATTCTGAAATAAAAGCTCTTGTACTGGTACAGAGCTTAAGAGAGAGCTCAGTTTATCTGAAGTGAATCTATGGCTCTGCCCTATACTGAACATGTCTCACGGTTCTGCTGCTGCTGCAAGAACTGATAATGATTCAGCGATTCGATTGTCTAGACAGACAAGCAGACAGGCCAGCCTTGACATAAGAGCTGAATCAGCAAGCATGACAATTAGTTACTGTTAGTCTGAGTTAGTGAAAATTATGTAGTCAAACATATTTACCAGAAAGAAGCCATTGTGCTGCGATGTCTCTTTATTACGGTTCTTTTTATCCTGTTGACGGCGGCAGCATACACACACACACACACACGCAACAGAAGTTAAAAATGTTGTTAAAATGGAGATAAATGTTAAGATAAGTGATGCAAACATAAGATGAACTGATTCTGTGAAAGTCTTGGATGGAGAAGGAAATTTAAAATTTGACATACAACAAAATGTAGATCGCAACTGGCCGCGTTCACACTGCAGTGTTAATTTCGAATAAGACAAAATAAAATGACTCAGTTCAGTAAGGGAGTCAGCTGTGTTCTCAGTAACAGCTTTGAATGACTCAATCTGATTTAAATCACGAACATTTTGTGAATATTTTTACTGATTCATCAAAACCAACTCATAAGAGTCATTTGTTCACAAATCGGACATCACGGTTCACGCTGTGTTTGTTGCTGCATCACTTTAAAGATGTGATTAACTAGTGCAATCTGTTCAAATAAATGACAAAACTTGCTTTTAATGCCCACAGATTTTTTTCCACTGTATTTTACATTGTTGCATCAAGTGTGAATCAGGATTGACTCCTGTATTATTTTTATATGTAGTGCAGTGCAGTGCAATAATTTATTAAATTAATTCGCTCTTATGTTTAAAAGTGGTTGTGATTCTAAAAACTTTGTGTACATGGCCAATAAAAAAAAATTTATGCAAAATGTTTCACATTCACAAACAAATTAAAAAAGTCATGGTGCTTCAAGGAAAACATATGGTGCAAACTTAAAAACAAGACAGATGGACCATGACAGTACAGTCTCAAAAGTGAGTTTGAGATCATTTTGTGAATCTTTTTTGATTGATTCATCAAAACCACTTACAGTATATAAAAGTAAAGGTAGCAAGGTTTTTTTTTTGTGTGTGTGTGTGTGTTTGTTTGCTTGTTTTGTTTTTATAATAAATAAAAAGAAAACAAGTAAATAGAACAGAAAAAGAATAGATAATGTTTGTGTTAGAAGGTCATTATTTATAATAAATAAAAAGAAAATAAGTAAAAAGAATAGAGAAAAAAGCAAGAAAAGAGCCTTTAACACTAGCATTCTCTATTCTTTAATAGAGAATGCTAGTGTTAAAGGCTCTTTTTTTCTTTTTAAATAAAACAAGTAGTTAGAATAGAAATAGAATAGAGAGTGCAAATGTTAGAGGGTCAAATTTTTTAAATAAAAAAACAAGTAGATAAAATTAGAAGTAGCATTATAATGGAGAATGCTAGAGTTAGAGGGTCAAATGAAGATGAAAGAGATGTGTTTTCAGCCGTTTCTTGAAAATTATTAAGGACTCTTGGATTGAGTTGGGCAGGTCATTCCACCGGGAGAGAACAGTTAATGTAGAAGTCTGTGAAAGTTTTATCATAGGTAGAAGAATGCAAAATTTGTCAATACAAGCATTTCAGTCAAATGTAATTCATGCAATATTTCAAACCTTTAACCATCTTGGGAAAATCAGCCCATATCAACATTTTAAAAATATCTAAATTCTGTGGAAAAAACGCGGACTTGGCAACCCTGCATCCAAGAAGAGCTGCCGGAGTCAGATTTGACTGATCACAGGTCGAGAATAAGGAGAAATGACTGACAAGACCATGCTGGAGTATTTGCTGCTCAACAGATCCTGAACTCATTGACAAATATCTGATCTTGCTCCCTTTACACAGAGTGCGTGTGATCGCGAAAGTGAAAGTGAACAGCGCGAATGCTCATTCAAAAGGGATTTAAATACTCCACATCCGCCTAAATTATACACAATATTAGAATGTTTAAAGGAGTGGACACGAAAATCTCGGAAGCGAAACACATGTTGTGGGAGCAGGCGGCAATGGTCATAGATTCAGCGGGAGCGAGATTAAGAAAACAGCCAAATCCCAGACATTTTGAGCAATTAAGAAATCCTGGCTGGACGCATTTTTTTTAGGTCCAAAAAGAGGACATGTCCGGGGAAAAGAGGACGTATGGTAACCCTAATTTATAAGAGTTCATGAATTTGATATCACTGTTCCTGCATGTTGGCCTAGCCTATTATTTCTATATGCCGTGTAATAGCTAATTTAGTAGATTAATTCACTCATGTTTAAAAGTGGTTGTGACTTCCAAAACTCTGCAGTGTGTACGCGGCCAATAAAGAAAAACGATTATGCAAATCAAATTAAAACATTAAAAACAAATAAAAAGCCATTAAAGCAAAAACAAAAGCATGTTAATCCAGTCCATCAGTGGCGGCCATCCTACCTTAAACTCTTTCTCGATGTTGGCGAGTTTGGTGAGCTCATTGCTCAGTTCCAGCGCAGTCAGTACCGGGTCTTCGCTGGACAGAGAGAGATACGCCGGACTGGCCAGTCCGCGGTACGCATTTATCCTGGAGCGCGAGTGACTGAACGAGTCCTTCCTCTGCTTTTCCGTGCAGTCGGCGCATTTGCAGAAGTAGTCATGCGGCCGCTCGATCCTGGCGCCCTTCATCAGCAGCATGTGCACGACCTCGTATTTCTGGCAGTGGGCAGCCAGGATGATAGGAGTGATATCGGGCGAGAACCGTGTGCCGTCCTCGTCGTAGGAGTAGAAGTCATCGTCTTGCAGCTCGCAGGGGCTGCGGGTGAGTCGTTCGCCGCCCGCAAAGGACGGATGTCCCAGCAGGGCCTCCACGATACGCACGTAACCTTTAGAAATCGCCAGCAGGAGCGCATCCCCGACACGGGCCAGGTTGTCTCGCCGCAGGAGCAGCTCGGTGACCTCCAGGTGTTCGTTGCCGACGGCCAGCTGTAGCCCGTTCTGTCCCATGTAGTCGACACAGTTCACGTTGAGCGTGGGTGATTCTTCCAGCATCTTCCGGACCACCGGGATGTTACCGTACTCCGCCGCTTCCAGAAAGCGCTCTTCCTCCGGCGTGAGGCTGCTGCCACGGGCGTTGAACATGAACGCCGGTCCGCGAATCGCCTGTCGTCGGCCCTTTTCTCGCGGTAGGGTCATCCTGCGATGGGGGAAACTATCCGAAGATTTCCTGCAATTGAAAAAGAAGTAGGCTTTTTACCTTGTGAACATTAGTCAGGCTCATTCAAGTGGAAGTGACTTTCTCTGCACTTGGCTGCTTGATTATATCTCACGCCTTTGACAAATAGCCAACAAGTTGACTTTCTCACTGAGAGCTGTCAAGTGGTGTAGCTATCATCAGGGATGTGATCCCACTGGGACAGAAAGCAGAAGGTGATTCGGGCCAGACGGTCCTGCTGAAGGCGAGATCGCCCTCTGGCTTTTAATAGCTTTTTAATGAAATGCAACAGATGCCACAATCACACAACAGGTGAGTGTCTTATTGGAGTGACGTCTGTGCTCAAATCGAGCCGACTCATGTTTAGCGAGCACTTGAGGTGAAGAGAATATACAATAGCAACAGTCAGTGAGCCTGAATAGAGTTCATTTCCCTCATTTGGATGTGTAATACTTTTAATAATTTTAATAATATTGGGCCTTGTAGCTAGTTTACAAACTCCTGACATCGTCAGACATCATGGCATTGGCACTCATTCAAAAGATGCTCATATTAAAGTTTCCACTATATTCCTCTCCACACACTCTACAATACAAAGAAGCATACAAAAACATCAAAACATTTTGGGGAATTGACCGTTCGCAAAGAGCTTGATTGACAGGCGATCTGACCAGTCAGAACGCGGATATATGTGCCGCCGCTGCTATCCGCCATCTTGGACAGCTATGGCCGGTCTCCATAGAGATCCATGTTTAAACGGGGTAAAAAAAGATCAACCGAATTGAAACTTTTTCAATGTAACTAAATATAAAAATGTGCAGAGGGTTAAGCTGTGCTGTTGTTGGCTGCCACCACAGTAATGGCAATAAGCTAAGGAATTCCTTTAAAGTACTTGTTCTGCTTACCAGAAAATCTGTCGTGTCCAGTGCTGTATGCATGGTTTGCAACGCTTAAGTTAAAATAATGAGTGTTAAATAATAAAATAATATGTTAAAACGTGTGCTCTTATCATTCTGTGGACAAAGTCCCGTGAATTTCGCCCCGATCAGGAGCTGTATGCACATGTGCGCACCTCTCATCTGTTTTCAATGCAGCTAACCTCGCGTCGCTTTATGTCATCTTCCCACTCATTAAACTATGACAGGTCCTTTACTGCAAACAGACAGTCACTGCGACACTCTAAAAAGTGATGAAACTATGGCGCCATGTGCTTTTTAAAAAAAAACATTTTCATAGGTTTCTTGTTATATTGTCGGCTCGTTGCACAGACAAGTAAGGTAAGCGAGTTAAGCAGCCATTTAATATGGACTTGGGCTAATTGTAGTGTTCCATTAAACCATGTTAAAACTATTCTTCTAGTATTATGCATTTATTTTTCGTTTAATATCATTTCTGAACAGAACTTTGATTTTTCAAGCATAGTGAAATAATTTAGCCGCGGAGCGAAGGTGGAGCGGTGTTTCTGATCAATGGAGTGGGAAATGGTGAACCCAGAATGGAGCTGGAGCGGAGTGATTATTGAATGCTTGGAGCGCGGAGGGGAAATTGTTGAGGTCGTGGTTAGAACGCTTGGTTGAGTGCATCAGACAAGACAACGACGAAGAAGAAGTGCTGCTGTAGCGTCAAGATTTTGCAAGTTATTACACATGCACCTGTATAATTATTTATGTAAATACTGTATGTATGTTACAATTATGAAAACGTTTTTATAAATTGCTGACAGTACAATACTGGAGAATGATGTAATCTGCAGAATTTACACTTCAATTATGAGAAGGGTATAACTACAGCCTGGAGATCTCCAAATGGGGGAGGAAACTCCAAATCGGGGTGGGAGCTCCAAAATAGGGCGTGGCTTCCTCCCATTGACAGACAGCCACATGACACGCATGCGCAATTTTTTCTCGCAATCCAGTTCAGTGGAAACTCTGCCCCACAGCTGATTCTAAAGATTGTATTGGTTGTGTCAATCACAGTGTTGATTTCCTGCACTATGCTACAATAAATGATAACCCTTAAGCCTACCCTACACCTGACCCTAACCTTAGCCAGTGAAATTGACTGCACGGTGGGATTGGCGCTGAATAGCGTGGTAAAGAAAGTTCAGGAGATAAGCAGTTAATAAGATTATGTGATATGAGATCTCCGAGCCGGGCCGTACCGTAACTCCCCAACCGGATCTCACCGGACAATGGCACCTTTTTAGTTACATCCAGCGTCACTACCCCTCCTTCCCTGCGAATTTTGAGCCCCGGGATGCCCCCGTTGGCTAAAACAAAGCGACAGAGTAAAATCTTTCCCCTGCGCTGCTCGTGGGTGATTCCCGTTTGTTAAGCAGAGGTTCAAACTCCGGTCCGAACAACACTGGCCAAGAGCTTTGGGCTCTGCTCTCACGGAGAATATTTATTTATATAGCATATTTTATTTTAGATAAATTAGAAACAATGTTTAATTTATAAAGTTTAATTTTGAAATGTAAGTTTCAATAACAATTGGCCGAAGCCAGAGCCAATGGTGAAAGTCTTTGCGCGAAGAGACCCCGCACCATTTTGGATGTTCTGCCCACTTTTGGAGTTCATGCCCCCTTTTTGGAGATCTCCGGTCTGCAGTTATGCCTACTTGGAAACACTGTACTATGGTATAAATAAATTCAACTGTATAACAGTTTCACTGCAATTCATGTTATAATGTTAGGATTAAAGAACAATAAACATAATACATATTACAGTTGCACTTATCTGTACATAGTAAATGCAGTTATTTTTAAGCGGTTGTTGACATTCTATCTAAAACGTGATTTAGCCCAAAAAAAACAAAACAACAATGTTACCACTCTAATATGTCTTGCAATATCCGTGCGTGCAAAGGTTCTGCGCGATCCTCTTGTTCAATATTCTCGGGGTCTGAATCTGGCTCAAATTGATATGGCAATATTGACGCCATCCTTGACTATACCGGAGCAGACGGAACTTGCTTCTTTGGCAAGGGGCGGGGCAGTACTGAAACACCATCTAAGCTCTTCGCCAATCACAACGCATTGGGACAGCTAACCAATCACAAAACATTTCTTTTTTCGGAAGGTGGGCCTTCATCAAACCCGGAACTAATCAAGCCGTTTGTGCCAGGCTGGGGAGAAAGGTATTGTAATAATGTAAATTATGTGAAAAATAATGCGTTTTTCGAACCACCAAGCATGAGATCATGTTCTAGTACACCCCCAAAACAAAATCAAGACTTTGTAAAGGAACATAATAGGACCCCTTTAAACTTGAAAAATGGTGTGTTCCGCGGTGGAAATAAATACTTTCTAATGTTTATTCATGTTCATTTCATGCTTTACGTAAAAATGAAAAGACGATCGGTTCACGTGTTTGAACTGAGGCAATAGTGATCTGTCACGACACATTAAAGAGCCACAAAACGGTATTTATTATTTTAATTTCTTTAAAAATGACACAATTTAAAAGCTGAGAGTCCTGAGACCTTGTTTCATACCAGAAGTAACCTGCTCTGTCTTCTCTGTTGGTGAGTTGTCAGTTTCCTCTTTGCTCTGCGATGTATTTTTCACTGCGTGACATTGGGACAGCTAACCAATCACAAAACATTTCTTTTTTCGGAAGGTGGGCCTTCATCAAACCCGGAACTAATCAAGCCGTTTGTGCCAGGCTGGGGAGAAAGGTATTGTAATAATGTAAATTATGTGAAAAATAATGCGTTTTTCGAACCACCAAGCATGAGATCATGTTCTAGTACACCCCCAAAACAAAATCAAGACTTTGTAAAGGAACATAATAGGACCCCTTTAAACTTGAAAAATGGTGTGTTCCGCGGTGGAAATAAATACTTTCTAATGTTTATTCATGTTCATTTCATGCTTTACGTAAAAATGAAAAGACGATCGGTTCACGTGTTTGAACTGAGGCAATAGTGATCTGTCACGACACATTAAAGAGCCACAAAACGGTATTTATTATTTTAATTTCTTTAAAAATGACACAATTTAAAAGCTGAGAGTCCTGAGACCTTGTTTCATACCAGAAGTAACCTGCTCTGTCTTCTCTGTTGGTGAGTTGTCAGTTTCCTCTTTGCTCTGCGATGTATTTTTCACTGCGTGAGAACATGAAGTGTAGTGTAAGCAAAGCCAATAGCCGAAAAAGCGTAACAGCTTAAGCTAACGCTTCCGGTCTGGCAGTACGTGGGAAAGGAGACCAGAGCTCTGCTAAACTTCAACATGTTTTACACTAATGCCTAGTTCACACTACAGGATTTTAAGCCCGATTTAAACCCGATTTGCAAGCTCGCCGACAGGTCAGGCTGTGATCGGGGGGAAATCAGCGGGTGATCGGCGCTCGGCAATCTTTATGCGTGAACAACACAACGATCCATCAAAGAGGCTCGCTGACGTGTCGCCGACACCTCGCCGACGGCAAACAAATATCTAGCATGCCAAATATCTGGACCGGTCGGTTCATGACATCCATTTTCAAATAAACAACTCCTGTTTCATGTGTTGTTTCGTGTCATTCCCGTTTCAATTCTTGCGTGTGTTTTCGTGAGTTATGACAAAACGTGGTTTGTAGAGTTGTTGGGTGACAGAGTTGTTGTCAGCTTCTGTAGTGTGTAACCCCTGGTTGTGGATCACTTACATAGAGTCACGTAGTGTGACCACCACAACGACTTAAAGACAGACAATCAAGTCATGTAGTCTGAACAGCACAGCGGTATGCCGACGTTTAAAATAGTGTAGTGTGAACTTAGCATAAACTATACTTTTGGATTGAACTATTTTTAGAGTTTACCACGAAAAAATGCCGTTTTATAAGAGAAGTCACTGACTTTTTGTGACAGGTGGGATTCAGCTTAAGGCACTTCTCATTCATTCCTATGGTATCTGTACACAACAATTGAGTGTCGCACAACTCTGATTGAAATTCAATGACGTCAAGGCTGTAATGTGATTGGTTATTAAGGGACGTGATCCAAGTTAGCCGTTACGCTTTCTCCAATAGTAA